CCCAGGTTCCTATCTAATCTTTCAAATTCCTGTTGTCAATTTGATCCCATAAAGATAGTTCTTAAAAGAGCATAATGCTCAAGGCAGACGTTTTTTACTGGTTAAGCTAATCTATTGTTTGGTTTTAAGAAGACTTCAAGGAATATTTTGGTTTAAGGTTTAAAGATTATCTCAGGGCAATGATTTTGGGGGTTCATCCAAACATTACCACTTTAGAGCAAGTCAACAGGCAAGAGCATCAAATCCTACAGTTGAAAAGTATATTTCTTATTTGTTTAATACTGATGCTTTAGAGATTTGAAGTATTAGCACATATAATATTTCCTTACTTTTTGTTTAAAATTGTGATAGATGAACGCTATTAGGTTCTTCTATGAATAAAGAGCTTTGGATTGTCATGCTATCAATTTTACTTATTCTGTATATATGAAAATATACATAAGCATACACACATGCATGCACATGTATATATATCCCATAACCCTTTACTTTGAGTGTACCCTCTGCTTAACTTAATAATTCAGAGATTTCAATACAAATTCTGTTGTTTTTGAAGTTTAAAAACATACAGCTTTAATTAATTTAATATTAAATACAAGTAACTGTTGAAACTAATTAGAACAAGTGCACGAGAGCCAAAGTACAACTTTGAGTATATCCCACCTGAATTTAGAGACCATCTCAAGAATACATAGGACACATTGAACACTAATGACCAAAGACGAGACGAATTGTGGAATGACATCGGGACATCATACATGAAGAAAGCAAGAGGGCTTTAAAAAGACAGGAAAGAAAGAAAAGATCAAAATGGATGTCAGAAGAGACTCTGAAACTTGCCCTTGAACGTCGAATAGCTAAAGCGAAGGGAAGAAATGATGAAGTAAAAGAACTGAACAGAAGATTTCAAAGGGCACCTCAAAAAGACAAAGTAAACTATTATAATGACATGTGCAAACATCTAGAGATAGAAAAAATCAAAAAGAAGAACATGCTTGGCATTTCTCAGGCCGAAAGAACTGAAGAAAACTTCAAGCCTCAAGTTGCAATATTGAGTTGCAATATTCTATGGGGAAAATATTAAATGACACATGAAGCATCAAAAAAGATGGAAGGAATACACAGAGTCACTATACCAAAAAGAATTGGTTGACGTTCAACCATTTCAGGAGGTACTATATGATCAGGAACCGATGGTACTGAAGGAAGAAGGCCAAGCTGCACTGAAGGCATTGGCGAAAAACAAGGCTCCAGGAATAGACGGAATACCAATTGAGATGTTTCAACAAACGGATGCAGCACTGGAAGTGCTCACTCATCTATGCCAAGACATTTGGAAGACAGCTAGCTACCTGGCCATCTGACTAGAAGAGATCCATATTTGTGCCCATTCCAAAGAAAGGTGATCCAACTGAATCCAGAAATCATCCAACAATATCATAAGCAAGTAAAATTACGCTGAAGATCACTCAAAAGCAGCTGCAGCAATGTTTTGACAAGGAAAGGCCAGAAATTCAAGCTGGATTCAGAAGATGATGTGGAACCAGGGGTATCATAGCTGATGGATCCTGGCTAAAAGCAGAGAATACCAGAAAGATGTTTACTTGTGTTTTATTGACTATGCAAACTTATCGGACTGTGTGGATCATAACAAATTATGGATAACACTGTGAAGAATGGGAATTCCAGAATACTTAATTGTGTTCATGAGGAACCTGTACATAGATCAAGAGGCAGTCGTTCAAACAAAACAAGGGGATAATGCGTGGTTTGAAGTCAGGAAAGGTGTGCGTCAGGGTTGTATCCTTTCACTATACCTATTCAATCTGTATACTGAGCAAATCATCCTAGAAGCTAGACTATACGAAGAAAAAGGGAGCATCATGATTGGAGGAAGACTCTTAACAACCTGCGTTATGCAAATGACACAACCTTGCTTGCTGAAAGCAAAGAAAACTTGAAGCACTTACAGATGAAGATCAAAAACCACAGTCTTCAGTATGGATTACACCTCAACAAAAAGAAAACAAAAATCCCAACTGGACCAATAAGCAACATCATGATAAACAGAGAAAAGATTGAAGTGGTCGAGGATTTCATTTTACTTGAATCCACAATCAACACACAGGGAAGCAGCAGTCAAGAAATCAAAAGACGCATTGCATTGGGCAAATCTGCTGCAAAATACTTCTTTAAAGTGTTAAAAAACAAAGATGTCACCTTGAAGACTAAGGTGCACCTGACGCAAGCAATGGTGTTTTCAACCACCTCATATGCATGCGAAAGCTGAATGAAGAATAAGGAGGACTGAAGAATTGACGCCTTTGAATTGTGGTGTTGGCAAAGAGTATTGAATATACCATGGACTTCCAAAAGAACGAAGAAATCCGTCTTGGGAGAAGTACAGCCAGAATGCTTCTTAGAAGCAAGGATGGCGAGACTCTGTCTCACGTACTTTGGACATGTTGTCAGGAGAGATCAGTCCCTGGAGAAGGATATCATGCTTGGTAAAGTAGAGGGTCAGCAAAAAAGAGGAAGACCTTCAAGGAGATAGATTGACACAGAGGCTGCAACAAGGACTCAAGCATAATAAGGATTGTGAGGATGGCGTAGGACTGGGCAGTGTTTCATTCTGCTGTACATAGGGTCACCATGCGTCAGAACCGACTTGACAGCACCTAACAATAACAACAACAAGTAACTGTAGGCAACCATTTTGGCATAATAAACACCTTCCTAAAATGACATTTCAGAGAGATAACATGAGGAGACATGATGTCATGCACATGGAGTTCAGACTGCTGAATTTATTTTTTTTTACACTTTCAAGTGTACATTTTACGTTGTCAGGGAGGAGCAAATCTCTTTAATTTCATCTTTCACTAGACTTTGATAACTTTAGCTCTTTGCTTTTAGGTGATTCAAATTAAAGATTAACCTTTCCAAAGATGAATGTGATGGCAAAAGTATTAGACATATATAGAGAGAAAGCCTTTAAGGCATGAATTACTTGATATCTGTGTCAGTCTAAGTAATTGCATATGAGTGTGAAGATAAAACCTAACAAACTGCTTTTTTTTTTTTTTTTTGGAAGGGCTTTTATTGAAAAATGCTGCCTTCGTGCTTAATGTCCCTTGGCTATTTCTTTTTCATAAAAATGCCTATGTTTTAGCATTGTATTTTGAAATACTGATACTATTCCAGATTTTTAAATATTTATTTAAAAAGCTAAATTCTCCAATTCTCAAATTTAACTTTTTTTTCCCTTCTAAATGTTATTTACTTTGTTGTTGCTGTTGAGAATATACACAGCAAAACATACACCAATTCAACAGTTTCTACATGTACCATTTAGTGATACTGATTACATTCTTCGAGTGCAACCATTCTCACCTTCTTTCCATGAACATAAACTCACCTCCCCTAAGGTTCCTCTCTAATCTTTCAAGTTGCTGTTGTTGCTCCAGGTGAGTAGAGACCAAATGTTGTACTTCGGTTGGTAGCTTGCAAGCTTTTAAGACTCAGGCACTACACGATGAAGTAGGAGGTAGAATGGAAGCACTAAACACATTATTAGGCCAAATAACTCGGATACCCCATGAAACCATGACCCTAAACCACCAAACCAAATTCCATGAGGTATATGGTTGTACGTAAGTAGCCTCAGCAGCTACTTTTTTTTTTTTGTCTTTGTTGTAAATATATCTATCACAGAACTTCTTACAATTCAACTTTTTACAGGTGTACAACTTATTGACAGCAATTACAATAACTGACTGTGCAACCCTACCCTTAATCAGTGTAATTTTTCCACCACTGTTCACCCCCTTTCTCCTCCTCGCTCCTGCCCCTTGTAACCACTAATAAACTTGTTCTCTATACATTTGCCCTTTTTTGTCTTTTTATATAAGTGACCGAAACCAAAAACCAAACCCATTGCTGTCGAGTCGACTCCAACTCATAGCGACCCTATAGGACAGAGTAGAACTGCCCCATAGGGTTTCCAAGGAGCACCTGATAGATTCAAACTGCCGACCTTTTTGTTAGCAGCTGAACTCTTAACCGCTATGCCAGCAGAGTTTCCTTACATGAGTGAGGACATACAATATTTGTCCTTTTGTGATTGTCTTATTTCACTCATCATAATGTCTTCAAGCTCCATCCATACTATAGTATGTATCAAGACTTTATTTGTCCTACTGGCTGAGTCATATTCCATTGTATGTACGTACCACATTTTGTTTATCCATTCATCTGTTATGGGCATTTAGGTTGTTTCCACCTAAATGCTATTGGCTATTTGGCTATTGTGAATAATGCTGCAATGAACATTGGTGTACACATCTCTTTTTGAGTCTCTGCTTTCAAGTCTTTTAGGTATATATCTAGGAGTGGAATTACTGAGTTGTATGGTAGGTCTATTTTTAGTTTTATGAGGAACTGCCACGCTGTTTCCCACAATGATTCTACCATTTTGCATTTCCACCAGCAATGGATAAGTTTCCAATATCCCCACATCCTTGCTAACATTTGTTATTTTCTGGGTTTTTTTTTTTTTTTTCTTTTAATCTCAGCCATCCTAGTGGCAGTAAAATGGTATCTCAGTGTGGTTTTGATTTGCGACTCACTGATGGCTAATGATGCGGAACATTTTTCCAAGAGTTTGGTGGCCATTTGAATGTTCTCTTTGGTGAAATGTTTATTCAAGTCCTTTACCCGTTTTATGATTGGGTTATTTGTCTTTTTTTGTTAAGTTGTTGAAGTTTCATATGCATTTTGGTTATTAGATTCTTGTCAGATATATGTTTTCGGAAGATATTCTCTCAGTTGGTAGATTGTTTTTTAATTTTTTTGGTGCAGCCTTTTGATGAACAAAAGTTCTTAATATTTATGAGATCCCATTTATTTATGTTGTCTTTTGCTGTTTGTGCTTTCTTTTTAATATATTAGATAATTTATTGTTGACAGCCAGGCCTGGCAGCATTGCCCCTGCTTGTTCTTCTAAGAATTTTATGGTGTTACTTTGCACCTTTAGGTCCTTAATCCACTTTGAATTTGTTTTTGTGTATGGTGTGAGTCATGAATCCTGTTTCATTTTTCCAGCATCATTTATTGAAGAAATTCTTCTTTCCTCATCGAATAGACTTAATACTCTCTTGTCAAAAATCAGTTGTCCATAGATGTGTGAGTTTATTTCTGGACTCCCAATTCTATTCTATTGGTATATGTGTCTATTGTTATACAAGTAACAGGCCATTTTGATTACTATAGCAGTATAGCAGGTTTTAAAATCAGAAAGTGTGAGTCCTTCTACTTTTTTCTTCTCTTTCAACATTGTTTTAGCTATTTGAGGCCCCTTGCCATTCCATATAAAGTTGAGGATTTGTTTTCCTATTTCTGTAAAGAAGGCTGTTGGAATTTTGATCAGGATTGCATTGAATCTATAGATCACTTTAGGTACTATTTACATGTTAATAATATTAAGTCTTCCAATCCATGAACATGGAACATCTTTTCATTTGTTTAAGTCTTCTTTAATCGCTTTCAACCTTGTTTTATAGTTTTCATTGTGTAAGCCCTTCCTGTCCCTAGTTAGGTTTATTCCTAGGTATTTTATTCTCTTAGATGCTACTGTAAATGGAATTGTTTCCCTAATTTCCCTTTCAGATTTCTCGTTGCTAGTGTAGAGAAATCCAGCTGATTTCTGTTTGTTGACCTTGTACCCTGCAACTTTGTTAAATTCCTCTATTAGCTCGAGAAGTTTTCTTGTGAACTATGTTTTCTATATGTAGGATCATATCATCCATGAATAGAGATAATTTCTTCTTTTCCAATCTGGATACCTTTTGTATCTCTTTGTCTTATTGTTCTGGCTAGGACTTCTAATACAGTACTGAATAGAAGTGGTGAGAGCAGGCACCATTGTCTTGTTCCTGATTTAAAGGGGAAAGCTCTTAGTCTTTCTCTATTAAGTATAATACTGGCTGTTGGCTTTTCATATATGCCCTGAATCATATTGAGGAATTTTTCTTCTTTAGGGTTTTCATCAAGAAAGGGTGTTGAATTTTATCAAATGTTTTTTCTGCATCCATAGAGATGATCATGTGGTTCTTTTCCTTTGTTCTGTTGATGTGGTAGATTATGTTGATTGGTTTTCTAATGTTGAACCATCCTTGCATTCCTGGAATAAATCCCACTTGGACATGGTGTATGACTCTTTTAATATGCTGTTGGGCTCTAGTTGCTATTATTTTGTTGAGGATTTTTACATCTACATTTGTAAGTGATATTGTTCTGTAGTTTTAGCAATCCTATTTTGATAGATGCCCAAGGGAGGGAGAGCCTACAGCCCATTTTGCAAACAAGTGCTAGGCTTCTAATAGAAACTAAAATGTGTATTATATTAGTTTATTTATATGCTTAACATGGAGCAGAGTAACTGACAAGCAGCAGGACTTAAAAAAATTATAAATGACTGAAGGAAAACTCATAATTACCTTAATGATACTTCCCTCAAATATTAATGCAATTAGTAATGCTTGTCCTCAGAATCATGTCAGTATTAGCATTGAAGAAAATCCATGGAGACTTCAAAAATAAATCAGATTTGCTAGGATAAAAGCAAATACTTTCTATTCAGCTGATTCCTTTCATTTCAAGATGTTTACATTATCAAATCTAAATTCATTCACAGTTTCACTAACGGATCAATTGTTTGTCCCACATGGGGAGATGTGGAAGAATAAAACCTTGACCATACAGAGTTTTGTTGACATTTTTCTTCATGTTTGAACCTTGGCCTGTCAATTGGTTTGGGGTAGATTTTACTCCTTCAATTGTTTGGCAATACAGAGATGAACGACATATGATCACTTTTTTTTTTTTTTTTGGAAAAATAAAAGGATATTGAACTTATAAGTAAAACACTAATTTCTAACATAAATTTTTCTTGTAAAAATGTTTCTTGAACGTCTTGCACTTTCTGGAGTTTTATTAGATTGCAATAAGGAGGAAACAGTTTATAGGTATACAGGTAACAAAGATCAACTAAAAACATGGAGACCAAATCAACCAAGTAGGCTTTTATGATGACTTATACTTTGAAATCTCATTTTTACGATTTTATTCTCATTTCTTAATAATAAACAAAAAATTATTCTCAAGTGCTTCTCATTTGCCAAATTTTTAAAGATCATTGATCTGAAATAATAATAATAATAAAGAAAATCTTTGTTTTTTCTTTTGATGGTAAAGACTTCATGGTGAAATCTAGATTGGAAATATGAAGTGACAAATACATTATTGTAGATATAACTTGTGCCTAACTCTATTTAGGGGGAAGAAACCCTGAGAATGGAGGATATCCTTGAAGTAATTGAGAAGGAAGGCGACTCGATTGCAGTGATCCTTTTCAGTGGGGTGCATTTTTATACTGGCCAGCTCTTTAATATACCTGCCATCACAAAAGCTGGACAAGCAAAGGTATGCACATCACTCTCTCCTTTCTACCTTGCCTAAGCTCATACCGAAGAGTGCTCTAATGTCAGTTCTACTGTCATAACTTTCTTTGTTTTTACATGCCTAAAATTATTTTGGAGTCCCTGGGTGATGTACTACCTGAGAGGCTGGAGGCTGGAACCCACCCAAAGGTGCCTTGAGAGACAGACCTGGTGATCCGCTTCTGAAAGTTCATAGCCTTGAAAACCTTAACTGAGCAGTTCTACTCTGCACATATGGGTTCACCATGATTCAGAATTGACTCAACGGGAACTAACAACAACAAAATTATTTTAAGAGTTAAAAAAAAAAAAAAAAAGAGTAAGCCATCACATACACATGCAAAAAAAAAAATGTATTCTTTGCTTAGGCATTTCTATTTAAATTGCTTTTTGACACTTCTGTGGTCTCACCTCCTTACTTGCAGCTGCTCTCCAGTGTTTTGCTCTAGTCAGCAGGACAGGTAAGCTTCTTACAGGTGATGTCATTGGTACTCAGCTGCTCAGTCAGCAGAAGGCAGGCAGAAAATGGGGCTATTAGCTACATGCTTGAACTGCAAGAGACTCAACTCTGGTATTTTGTCATGGCATAACTCATTCTAAATAGCATTCAGTTCTCACTTAATCCTATGTACCTAATGGAGGACAGATTCCTAATTAAATTTTATCAGTAGACAGTGTTAGACGCTTGTTATTTTAAGGAAACCACTTTTTTCCTTGGCTCTGCAGTGCCATGGATCACTTTGGGCAGGACTGTGTGATAGGATAACTGTGGTTCACCAAAGGGAACTGGTCAGTTTTGCCATCCTACTGGGCTTGAAATAAGCCACCCCAGAGGTGGGAATGAGAAGAGCCCATCACCACCAAGGAAAGAGAGATCTGGCAGCAGAGACCCAGCAGCAGGAAACGGCGTGGTGTGCTTCCCAGCCCATGGAGAGAGAAAGCTGAGTGCCTTTGGGCAGAGACTGAGGGCCAGGGAGAGGCACGCCTGTGAGCATGGCTGGGGAGAGGCTATCGTGATGGAAGAACTGTATCTTGAATGTTCCTGAGCCTGAATTGTAACAAACTTCCCTAAACCAAACCAACCAAACAAAAAAACCCATTGCCATCGAGTCAATTCTGACTCATAGAGACCCTATGGGACACAGAGAACTGCCCCATAGGGTTTCCAAGGAGTGGCTGGTGGATTTGAACTGCTGACCTTTTGGTTAGCAGCCGAATGCTTAACCACTGCATCATCAGGTCTCCCTCCCTAATAAAACCCACGATTGTCAGAGTGGTCTGTGAGTTCTGTGTGGCCATTGCAATCAATTATCGAACCCAGTAGAGAGTGCTGTGAGAGGGACATTTGGTGTCAGAGTTGGTAAAGATGGCAGAGAGAGGAGGCAAGTCGAACCTCTGCCTCATGGGAATCAGCCTTGGGCTGTTGATCTTGATTCTCCTACCCAATTGTGAAGCTAGAGGAGGTCAGACGTTGCGCCCACACCATTTTTACAGGCTCTATCTGGTCTACGCTAAGAATTTTTATAAATTATTATACTGCCTACAACGTGAATTTTTCCCTATACACTACTAAATTACACTTAAATTATCATTTCAAAGCTGTGTCTCTTTGTATACAGTGCTTATAAAAAGTGTTTTTAGTAGTTTTTTCCTAAAGAAAGAAATCAGAGGAACACTATTCAATAGTTACAATTTGTATTTAAAACCCTTAAATAACAGTTCTATTTGATTTGGCAATCAAGTCATGTATTTAAAACAGTGACAACCGAATTTTATTCTGAACTTTAATAAGTCATGGGATTAATATATGTGTGAGGTCTAGTTAATATATTCAGTTATTGAAGCTAATGAATGGAACTAATGAAAAGAAATTTAGCACTGTTATGAGCAGTCTCTAGAAATTTCCAACCACGACTTCCAACTGGTTTGATGAATAACTGTGAAAGTGGTGCATTACAAAAGATATAACGATAATGTCTTCTTAATTTAGATATTAAATCTTAAGCGCCAAAATAAAGGTAGGCCTATAAAAAAATCATATTTTAAAATATTATGCAAGTAATCAGCAGCCCCTGTTCCCCTTAGTATCATGCATGTCTCATTGACCTTCATAGAAATGAGGCAGGAAGATATAGAAGGACTATAGGTTTTGGAATCACCCAGTCTGGGTTTCACATCTTGGCAAATCATTTAATTGCAATATGATCTTAACTTTTATGAGTTTCTGTTACTGAATGTTAATTTGGGGTAGCAGTAACCACCTCATAAATTCAGTGTGAGAACGAAGAGTATAGAACATCTATTGGATGGGCACACATTTAGACCTTAAGTGGTGGTTTCTACTCTGCTACTGTCCCCAGAGAACCTGAAAATATGGGAAGTGGCTTAGATATACTTATTCTTTTATTTCCTATTTAAAGAAAGAAAGAAATTTGTCTACCTAAGAGATATACGTAATTCTTTTTCTTGACTTCTTTGGTTGCTTAAACCATTTCCTCAATGTTTTGCAGACTTTCTTTCACTTAATAAAAAAAATATGGTAAGTGCTCACCAAGTTGAAGCTCTCATGGAGCTCTCAGTTAAGTAAAGGAAGATAGGAATGAGAAAATACAATCTAAACGTTGCCATAAAGTGTTAGATACTATGGGAGTAAAATGGGTATATAGCAGACTTAGATTTACCCATTATCAAAAAGTTCTTAACAAATGGGTATGCTCTTGCTAGACAAACCCTGCCATTCTCAGCTAAGATTGATAAAATTTCCTCTTTAAAATGTAGACCTACACAGCTCTCCTGGGCAGTCTGTGGAGATAAGGCTGAAAAGAGAGGCAGAGAGAAAATTAAAGGTGTCAATCAAGAAAGTGATAGGAAATTCTAGAAAAAGAGGGCATCGAAGAGTCACTCCTAGGATTGCCTAAGTGAGAGAAAAGAGAGGAAGTTTTCAGAGATAAAGCGTGGTAGGAACAAAAAATGATCTCAAGATGGGGCAATGAGAGTCATTAAAAGTAAATGACCCATTTTAAAAATGTTGGAATCATGCAATGGGAAAGTAGGGACAGGAATTTTAAAAAAATACATTTTTTAAATTAAAGAATTGCATGTGTACTGAAAAGAGCACAAATACTGAGTAAATGGCTCAATGAGTTATTCTGAACCCATATAACCATCACCCACATCAAGAAATAGAACGTTTCTAACACTTAATTATGCCCTCTGCCAAGTATTGCCTGTTTCCCTCTCTCCAAAGGTACCACTATCCGGACTCTAATAACATATATTAGCTTTGCCTATCTTTAAACTTTATATAAGCAGATTCATATATAAACACATTCTTTTGTGTTTGGCCTATTTGCTCACAATTACATTTGTGAGATTCATACACGTTGTATCTAGCAATAGGTTTTTATGTTTGTTTTTCTTTCCATTGAAGTATTTTATTACTTTTTATGAATAGATCAGAATTTATTTTTTTTCATGCTCACCATTTGGGGGAAATTGCAGTTAATACTATTCTGACCATTCTTACAGATTTCTTTGGGTAAGCATTTGTATATGCCTCTATTAAGTATATAACTAGAAGTGGAATTACTAGATTATAAGGTATGTAAATATTCAACCAGAATCAACAATGCCAGTTTTCTAAAGAGGTGTTATCAATTTATACTTCTACCAGCTTATATGAAAGTTCCTGTTGCTCTACACCTTCACTAACACTTATTATTGTTAGTCTTTGTAATTTTAGCCATTCTGACTAGTTTGTAGTTGTTACAACATTATGGTTTTAATTTGCAGTTTCCTGATTATTGATGAGGTTGAGGACCTTTCAAATGCTTATTGGTCTTTTGCATCTCTTTTACAAAATGCTTGTTCAAGGGCCTTGCACATATTTGCATTTGGTTATCTGTCTTACCCATATTAGTTTGAAGAAGTTCTAGAAATTGATTTTAAGGAGAGAGAAAATAAGAATTTTCCAAGTGATCATTAAAGAGGAAAAATAAATACATTAATAAAAAATATAATTGGTACGATGACTTTGGTTCACATAATGAACTTAAGATGCTGAGACTTTTCTTAACTGAGGGGGAGGCATGAGATGGTGACAAGTAGGCGAGATGGAGGAAGTTAAATATAAAGTCAGGGTAAAGAACCATATTACAAGGGAAGGCCAGCCCATGGCAAGAGATATCAGGTTTTTCTTTTCTTTCTTTCTTTTCTTTTTTTTTTTTTTTTGCCATTTCAACATTTTTTACATGTACAATTTGGTGACATTAATTACATTCCTCTTGTTGTTCAACCATTACTATTACCATTATCTGTTACCAATGTTTTCATCACTCTTAACAGAAGCTCAATGCCCCCTAAGCAATAAGTCCCTCTTTCCTCCTCCCTTCTACCCTTGGTAACCACTAAGCGGGATCATACAATATTTGTCCTTTTGTGATGGTTCAATTTTACATTATTGGCCACCTTACCCTTTTGGAACTCTGGCTTGCACCCATACCTCTATATTTTGCATATTTTATTACTTGTATCTACTAAGAATTTTTTCTTTTCTAAACCAGGTAAATGTATGGATTCGCCCTTGTCCTTAGCATTCCTTTCCCTAGTGATTTTAACCACTGCTGTGACTCAGCTCAAAGGTATCAACAATAGCAACATGACTCAGCTATCACTGTCACATGAAAGCTCCAGCCTATTCCTACACTCAGGATATGTTATTTATACCCCTCTGCCTACTATTTCTGAAAGTCCTATATGTACCTTGACATCACTTTATTCCAAACAGGTTTATCTTTCCGATAAAGATGCTCCTCCTGTTTTGTGCCACCATCCTTCTGGTTCTTTGGACTCAACTCTGACATTTTCTCGTTCTTTCTTTTACCAATCATTTGTTAATTCCACTCTTTTAGACTCTGTCTTTCCTTTAACATTCCTGAATCAATAACAAAAGTTTTCAACTTCAAGAAACAGAATCACAGTTAA